TATGGTCGGTGTGTTAACCGTTTTCGTGGATTAAACCGACGTGCAAGATTCGTTGTCGGAGTCGTCATCAGCTGCTGTGTTCCAAGACACTCGTGAGTGTTCTCTTCTTGATGATATGCGAATAGGGCGGAATTTCGAAAGGGGCAACGGATTGGTGTTGGGATGAGGTCTTCTCTCCTCTTTTCTTCAACAGGGTGGTAAGTGGATATGGACGGATGCTTGAACCCCCTGTGGCGCCTTGCTAACGGGTTTGGTGAGGTGGAGCCACACTTTTTTCTGGTTTTCGTTTGGAAATCGGAAGATGGTCGTCAAAGTTTTCCGTGTTAGCGTTGCTCAGAGGTTATGTGCTAGTAATGGGAGGTGGTTCTCCTCCCCCGAAAATGCTGGGGTAGGGTTTGAGGGAGTTGTGGTAAGTTGGGGGTTGTTGAAGAAAAAGGGAGAGAGATTATTTAGTGGATTGTTGATCTTATCGTTACGTCCTGGATTAGTCTGGAGGTCATACTTAGGGTCGTCTTATCTGGGTTGATGCTAATACTGATTACATTCGATAGGTTTCTCTCTTTCTCACGCTTTGAAATGTAATTTTGTAATATTTCCTTAGTGTTGAAATTTCCTATGATTGTTCTAGGTTTCGATTATAAATCTTGTCGGATAAATCAATTGGAAATTTTCATAGTATTGGTTGAAAGCCCTAATTAGGGCAGCTGATGGTATATCCCAATGATAATTTGTATGTTTGCTGTAAAGTTTGATTGTCGATCTGTTTCTTCTGCTTTGTAATTCCTGATTTACGGTCCTGATTTACGGTCTGAGCATTTTCATGATTTACGGTCTGAGCGTTTTCCTGAACCTCGGGTCCGGGAAACCAGAGTCGAAAGTCCGGTTGGACATCAGAATCGGTTCTCTATTGTGTTTATCTATTTGGATTTTCTAAGTCATCAAATCGTATATTCGGTTTGAGCGATTTTCCTTTCCCGATTTTATCTGTACCTCGATGGAATTTTTGACTTCGATGCTAATTAGTTTTTGCTTAGTAATTAGTCTTAGCGATTTCTCTATTTTCCAATTCTTATCTGTATAACGATGAATTTTCTGATTTTGATGCTATTTAGTTTTCTTAGTAATTGGGCTCAGGTTTTTGTCGACATCTTTTGAATCTCTAGTTTTAGTCTGTTTTGGTGTATATGAAAATCTTGAGGCTCAACATGAGCATTGTAGGGTTTGGGCTCACAAATATTGATCGGGGTTATTTCCTCAGGATTGGAGCTCCTCCCTGCGAGGGCTACACAAGGTGGGAGGTGTTATCCTTGAGAGGGTAGGGGCGGTATTGTGGGACTGTCCTTTTCTGGGCCGTGCTGATTTTCGGGTCGGATCAGTATGGCGGTTGGGGAGAGTGGACAAGGGGTGTTGAAGTTAGCAAGATGAGAGGTAGAAGAGAGGGCTGTTTCACTGGGAGGAGGTGGGACAGGAGGAAAGGAGGAACTCCTGCTCTGCGGGGACATACTCTAGGGGAATTGTATGTTGTTGAGGGAGCGGGAATGACCGTTTAGGGGGTTGTTCTGAACTAAGGCCGGTGTGGTGAGGGGGCACCCTCCGGCGGAGGCAGTGCAACGACAGAGGGATGTTTCTGAGGGAGGAGTAATCTCGGGAATTTTTTGTGAGTTCTTCATGAACAGTTGAGCTTCGAATGGACACCGGAACCGCCACAGGATGAGGGGTGATCTTTCCCTCCCTCCCTCTCGTTTCGTGGGGGTAGACGGGGTTTTCTCTACTTTTTGTCAGAGTCAAACTTTCCTGAAGGAGGGCAGGGGGGGGTTAGAACTGGAGGATGGGATCTAGTCAGGAGGCTCTCAATAGCGTAATGCCTGTTAGGCAAGTAGATCAGAAGAACGAAGCTGGGACGACGCAGGCCGGTGCTGGGGCTTTTGTTCTGTGACCTAAGGGGGGCTTGAGGCTTGTGGAGTTATGCTGAGGGTGGAAGGCATAACCAGTTCGTTCAACGTAGTGGGCGCCGGGGTATTAACCCTGTAACCTGTGTAAGGGGCTTGCCGTTAAGGGAAGTGTCAAGGGAGGAAGGCACCTCATGCCCGTCAGAACTAGGTTGGTCAGTACTGGGGAAGGTTGCGGTGCCCTGTTACCCTAGCATGAAGGGGGTATGAGATCAAGTAAGTTCTGGTACGTGGACTGAAAGCCTGGACAGACTTTCCGTCTGTTGAAGGGGGAATTTTGGATAGTAGGTTGTTTCATTTTTGACCGCCCGCTCATATAGTTTTCCAATCCTTTCCAGATATTTTCAAAAACACAAAGACTTCGTAACTATGGATTGAGTAACCTAGCAATAGGTCGGTAGGTCAACAGTTATTCATGGTTTCGTAAAATGCTCCTGTACTTCTTTTTTAGTTCTCAGATTGTTCTTAGCCGAAATTCTTAGATTGTCTTAAAATTCTCCTGAACTCTTTTTGTAGTTCTCAGATTGCTCTTAGTCAAAATTCTCCGATTGCTCTTAGCCGAAGCCAGGTAATGGCCCTGGTATTCCAAATCCTTTGTATCATTTTATATGGGACGCTGGGCCCGGTTCCCAGCATGTGTTGCTCCCCACGAATAGACTGGAGCATTGGTCCCAAAAAAAAAAAAAAAAAAAAAAGCTGTTCCCAGCGTCCACTTTAACAAGGCCATGTCTGACGATCACTCCAACTCACCAGAACGGAGAAAACGTCCTGCGGTGCAAAAGCAACCAAAGCCGGTGACGAAAGTGGTAAGTTTTGGGCCTCCCATGCGGACATTGTCCCGCAAGGGCAAGATGGAAAAGAAACTAGTAGAACTATATGTTCCATAGTATGCACGAAGGCCCAGGCAGGCATGGTAGTGCTGGTCAGACAGAGATCTGAGGGGAGCTTGGAATTACCGTCTATAATAGTGAGAGCCCCCCCATCAGAATTACAGGCTCCATAGCTGATCCGATCATCGGTCCTTAATGACTCAGGCACGGTTCCCATCCCGCCAATGCCCGAAATGGGCAGATACACTATCAACTTGTGCACAAACGGCAAGTCTATCATGTACATTGCTTTCCTAGACCTAATCTCAGTATCAGGCCCTCAAGAGCAATGGGTCTAGTTGCCTATCCAGTGGTTGTCCCTAGCATTGTTCTTAATGCCAGGAACAAACCTTTTTTTTTTTTTTTTTTTTTTTGAGGCAGAATGGCTGAGCCCTCCAAGCTCTTTTTTTTTTTTTTTTTTTTTTTTTTTTTTTTTGGGGGGGGGGGGGGGGGGACAAATGCTCCAGTCTATTCGTGGGGAGCAACACGTGCTGGGAACCGGGCCCAGACAAACCAACTTAAGAATGTTCAAGTTGGTTCAAACCTGTCAGCCCAGGACGTGGCAGACTGGCTAGCCCTGGCAAAAGCCCAGGAAATAATTGGAGCAGAGGAGTTCTCTCGCCAACTTTGCATCCATGATCTAGTAAAGGAAGTAGCCCCCCTCCCTCAACTGACCACTCCAACCCGCATCCAAGTATCCAGTGGCAACAACCAGGCTAATGGTCCTGTCGAATAACATCAGGATCGCAAGCTGGAATGTTAGGGGCTTGGGAGATACAGCCCATAGAGAAAAAAAAAACTAGACTAAAATCCTGGGTTCATTCCCAGGATGTCCATATCCCTTGCATACGAGAGACTAAGTTGGATCTGGAGAAGATCAATCAAATCAACAACTGGTGGCCGGGCCCACAGTTTTGGGCACCAGCAGACGGATCAAAGGTTGGAGTCGCGGGACTAATCAACAAAGACTTCGAGGTCGAGGTGTTGGATTCGTTTTGTGACCCAAGGGGGAGATGGGTCTGGGTGAAGATAGCAGTGGGAGATGAGGACTGGGCGATGTTGTCCGTGTATGCCCCCGTGGATTATAAGGACCACACTAACTTCCTGGCCTCCCTGCCTACTATTCTCCCTGATGTGGAAAGCCTCATCTTGGAGAGAGACTGGAATGGTGTCTTCAACCCAGGCCTAGATAACCCCAATCCAGCACCGCTTCGAGCCGATGCACTAACGCTCTCTTCCTTTGACGAGTCTCAAGGTCTGGAGGATGTGTACAGAATACACCACCACTCCCTCCGACAGGAGGAAATAGCCCCTCCTGTGAGTCCGGGCGAGATTTTAGGGAGGGAGGCGACCCTTGGGCGGAACAGCAGGGCCAGTTCCGTGGGGAAGTGGGAACCTGTGCCGCCTCTTTCCAGAACACAGTGCCTTTTTTTTTTGTGTGTGTCTTGGGGTGTTCTTCGTCGGGCCGCAGGTGGTTTTCCTTGCAAATTGGCGAGAAAAGTGGAGGCGGCCACTTTCCATAACACAGTCCATTTATATATATATATATATATATATATATATATATATATATATATCGTCAAATAGAATATATATATATATATATATATATATATATATATATTTACAAGAAACAAACCGAGTAGATGCTAGGGGCGCTGGTAGGAGCGGACGCCTCTATCATGCTCGGGGAGGCTCCATCTATTGGTGGGGAGCAGCACCTGCTGGAAAACGGGTCCAGCGTCCCTATGTACAGCCAAAATTCATATGAACATGCCACGTGTCAATCCTACTGTAGACGGAAAAGGTATATGCACCTACACGCAGGCATGCAGCGATAGTCTAATGAGCAGCACCGATTGCCCTCAACCCAGGGATCGACTGCACAGCACTCTGAAAGATTGTATCCCTACTCAGAAAACCTCACCGTGAAGTCAAATCTCGCAGCACGCAGAGGAGGAAGAGGGGTAAAAATAGGAAAACTATGACTACAAGCCCAGACGCAGCGGAACCCATGTACCCCCGGTGCACCGTCTTGCCTGCCACGTGATGAAACCTAATGTTTATACCCCAAGGATATAACCCCCGGGTAGCTCAGCAATGATCGGAATGCAGGTACGCCACGTGGCCTCCCCATTATATACGAAAAGTCCTTCGATCGTCGACACAGACCATTTATGCAAGTAGTGGACAGCATTGATTACCCTCAATAGAGGGGATTGACTGCCCACCCAAGCCGAAATTTATGCCCTACCCTGGAATACTCATTAGGCGTTCAGATACCATACAGCACCGTGAGCAGGAGGGGGAAGCAGAGCAGGGCTTCACTAAAAACAAAAACCCAGGAGCCACATGGCGGAATCCAACTGAGACAACCTTAGTGCCTCTTTCCCCGGCACTTCCTATCCCCGCCACGTAACAAGAAGCCAGGCCTCACGGTCGCAGGCCCAAATGCCCCGCACACTGTTAGCACGTGGCGAAGACTGATTGTTCCACGTGGCCACGAACAGGCGGGGTAAGGCAATCCAATATCTACCCACCATCTAACCCNAACAAGAAGCCAGGCCTCACGGTCGCAGGCCCAAATGCCCCGCACACTGTTAGCACGTGGCGAAGACTGATTGTTCCACGTGGCCACAAACAGGCGGGGTAAGGCGATCCAATATCTACCCACCATCTAACCCACCCCCTCACGCACCCATTCCCCCCGCCGCTGTCCCCCACGCCCATCCAATATGCACGGCGAACCACCCGAACAGCCCTCTCGCCCTCCCCCCAAATCGTCAGTACGCTTGCAATGGAAACAGGACAGTGGAGGAGGAAAGGGAGAGAGGGAGAGATCGGAATTCGCTGCGGAAACCCCCACCGCACTCACCATACCGACGTTATTGATATTGTTGATGTCATTTGTGTCGTTGCTGTTGTTGTTGTTCTTATTATTGTAATCCAGCACACACGAAGTCGCAATTTGCACACCGGCGCCAGTGACATGGCCAACAATTATGCTGGCGCCCACACTCCCTGCTTCGTGGCTGCTGGTGTTGTTGTTGGCCTTCTTGTTATCAATGTTGTTGTTGTTGTTGTTACTGTTGTTGTTGTTGTTGTTGTTGTTGTTGTTGTTACTGTTGTTGTTGTTGTTGTTGTTGTTGTTGTTGTTGTTGTTGTTGTTGTTGTTGTTGCTGTTGTTGTTGTTGTTGCAGCTCTCACGCGTGGTAATAGCCCCCTCCTCCGATCGAAAGCACTCCTCGTCGCCAGCGAGCAAACACTTGTCCAATTCGCCGTGAGCTCCCTGCCCCTCCTCAGGCTTCCCGCGGCTACTCATCACCTCCTCAGTAAGGGAGGCAGCCGAAATGGAAGTGTCCGCTTGACTCCATGAGCCCGACGACGAACGCAGAACCTGCCCCTCCTCAGGCCCCGCGTCCCGCAGCCATTCCCTCAGCTGTACAAGGATTCCCTTCACTTCCCCCAGCACTTGAGAACAACCCCCCAACTCCGCCATCACCCGTGCGTTTTCGATGGCACCCAACTGTTGCGAGGGAAGGCTTTCACGGAGCTCCTCCTCCCATCCACCAGATAGCTCCTCCACCTCCTCCAGAAGATCCGCTGGAATATTGTGCTGATGCTGGATAAGCAACGCATAAATCTCGTTCATCTGCTGCCTGTGCATCTGCACCCATTCCAGCACAGACCCCTCCTCTTCGAACATGGCAACAAACACAGCCTCCTCCATAGACGCCACCTCACTCGCCAACTGCGTTGTTGATGTCAACACGGTCGAGGCCATTGTGTATTTAACTCTACTGTTATTGTATCTAGTTGTGCTGTAGAAACGGCTCCCCAATCCGCCGTGCCACGTCTTAATTAGTCGCCACTTGAATCCATCGCGCCGATGTGCCGTCGCCTCGAGCTGCCACATGGAATATCCCCCACCTACGCCTGGGCCAAAGCACCAGACGGGCACCAGGACGACCAGGTACAGCGGTGGCCCAACGTCTCCACCTATGCACCAGTCCACGGAGTGCGGCCGGGCCCTGCCGGCTGGTCCGTAGCGCAAGTTAGCGCTAGTTCCATTTTCTTTTTTTTGCTCTTTTATTTCGTGAGTGACTTGTCGGTACTCAATTTTTTTTGGAGTCCCACCACACGTTTCCACGTCCACATTCATACAGGTCAGGCCCCCACAAAAAAGAAAACATCAACACCATACTGGCCACAAAAAAGAATCTTCAAATAGAAACATGGCGAGATACACCCCCATGATTTTTGTCTTTTGTGCATGTAGAGAGTAGTGCAGCCATGCCCAATGAAGGAAGGGGGGGGGGGGGGTGCGCAGGACTAACTGAATGTGGACGTACTGGCCGTAGGCTGGGTGCAGAAAACAGTGATTGATCTGCTTTTCTGCATATCTCCGCGGCACACGTCCAGATTCAGACAGCGCTTCAGTGAATAACATGTGCCAGCTGCAAAGGCTGCGGCCGCGGCCCGTGGCAGGGATCCAACAGTCCATTTGTTTTTTTTTGTTTTCATTTTTTTTTCTCGTACTTTCAAATACCAAAAAAAAAAAAAAAAAAAAAACATACATCCAGAATGACTGGGCCCTCCGACAGGGACTGAGCAAAAGGGATATTCGGTAGTCCGCTCGCTTACCAGTAGTCCGGACGTCGTTTCGGAAATTCGAACTACCGGTAGGCGCAATTTCCTCCTGTCGGACGGAGTGGTGGTTTAACCCAAACTCATCCGGATATATATGGTATGGCCCTAGACCAGACCATCTGACCCGCGGGCCTAGGGAAAGGCTTGACTTTTTCTTAGCCCAGGGTGCATTTTGGGATCGTTGAATGAGATGCGACGTTATGATGGCCTCCATGTCAGACCACTATCCGGTCTACAATGGATGTCCTGGGCAAAGAACAGTTTGATAAAGTTTGTCCTCCATTCCGTTTAAATTTGAATATCTTAAAAGAGAAAGGTATCCCAGAGTGGGTGAAGAACCAGATGTCTCTGTGGATGCAGGCAAAGGACTTGTTTGAGCAAGAGCAAGAATGGGCGGAATCTGACGGTTCTCAGACCACCGCCAGGATAGAGGGATATTGCAAGGGCAATTCTCAAAAAAAAAAAAAGAAAGAAAGAAAGAAAGAATGGGCGGAAACAGGCTTGGGGATTATTACAGCGGCTCTGAAAAAAACTTCCCGCATAGAGGGGACGGGGCTGTCTGCCATAGCCACGTGGCAGATTCAGAGAGTTTCACTTTGTCTTCATGAGAGATCGTGACGGAGCAACTGTAGAGAGGGAGTGGGAAGGATGAGCTGCCCGCACCCCGTCGTCACAACAGGCCTGTGAGACCAAGGGCGCGGCTGCCTGTCATAGTCACGACGCTGGGAAGATGGTAGACGGGCAAGGTTTTGGAAAAAGGGCGGCAATGCAACTTCCAGTATGCTGAAGCCAGTAATCAAGGCAGGACACGGCACTGCTTTTGCTCGGTGGAGCGATCCGCGAGAGGGAGCGGGAAGAGGGCACCAATAATAGTGAAACGAGGGGTGGGCGCTCGAGCCCGGTCGCTGCAACACGATTAAGGGATCGAGGGCGCGGCTGCCTGCCATAGCCACGAGACTGAGGGTGTATTGGCGGTTACGATTGGTGCCTCCAAGTGGTGTCTGACCTCTTGGCGTGCTGAACAGCATTGCTCCCATCTGTGCCAGGGTACCAGGAGGAAGGGGACGGGCGCTCAACTGATCTGAAAAATGATGGGGGTGTTGATTTATAAATTTCGCTGATGTGGCGTTCATTTATAAATTTTGATGACGTGGAGAGCTCATATATTTTTCAACGATTGATAAGGCATGCTGACGTGGCATGCTGTGAAAGACGGGATTGTACAGCTGGTTGACGCCATTGAGGATAGAAGTAAGGAAAAAATTGGGGGGGAAGTTGGGAAGAAAGTTTACAACGGGCAGGGAGAGGAGCCGTCTCACGGATGGTAGCCTTCATAACGAGTCGCCAAAGTCAGAGTGGCAACCTTCATCCAGCAGTGAAGTGCTTCAAATCTCTCTAAGCTTCCCACTCATCCCTACCCCGGCTTTGTATCCTTGATCCTCCCCAGCCAGTATCAGGATATTGCTGCTATTAATCAAATTGCATGTGGCTCACGGTCAGTAAAGACTCCAAAAAAATAACACGAAGAAAGGCACTTCTCAGGCGGCTACTCTGGCCTGTTCACCGAAGCGGTCCCTGGCCAGAGTAAAGTGACTTTCGATCATCAAAAAAAAAAAAAAAAAAAAAAAAAAACCACTAAAAAGATCAACGAACAACAAAAAATGACTCGTATTATTAGACATCAGAGAGCCCATAGACAGTTGGATTCCATGTTGATGTTCCGTGGAGCTACGAGGCAGATAGCAGCCAATCAGCTACATACCCCTATCAAGTCGGTTCTTCAGCATAGAAGTGGGAAACAGGACAGTTCCAAGGAAGAGACACACGCTGTTACGGACTTCGCCAGGGCTCGATCCCTGGTCTATCTTTTGCTGTTTCGGCTGCATCCCGTTTTCGGCCTGGCACCCTTTTTCCAAACCCCTCCTTTGGTACCGTAGGATTTTGGACAACTGGCGC